ATCTTCGCAATGCTCAGGATGAGGTCGATACTGCGAAGGCTGAGGCTGAGCACTTCAACCTCGAGCTCGAACGCAATCAAAAAGATTTGGATGCAAAGCTGGCTAATGCTCGAGAGGATGCGGTCGAGGACTTTAAGAAGTCTGACGCCTTCAACGAGTTGAAGGGCAAGTATGCTATGGGTTCATACTTTCATGCCCTGAAGGAAGCTCGAGCTTTCATTCGCCTGAGGCCAAATGCTCACCCTGAGGATCTGAAGTCAATCCCCGAGGTGGCTGACGACCTTCATCTTTCTGAGTCTGAAGAAAACGCTGGGGATGAAGACGTCGACATTGAGGGTGACGACGTCGAGGAAGAAAAAGGCAGTCAGAACACCGACACCTAAATTTGATCAGTCCCTGAGCATTTATTTTGATTTGTAATTTTTTGATGTAAAATGCCCGATCTTAATGGAAATAGTTTTTCCTTTTCACCGAGCTCAATCTGTATTATCGTCGTATTTTTATTTCATCAACATAGGCGTCGAACTTTTGTTAATTAATATCTCGACGACTGAGAAGAACTAATTATCTCGATGACAAAGATGATTAATTATCTCGACGACTAAGAAGATTAATTATCACGACGACAGTATTGAATTAATATCCCAATGACTAATTAATAATCTCGACGATTGAGAAGAAATAATTCGATTTTAAGCAAGTCATAATGCCGAGGACAATAGCGAATAGTTTAACACCTTGACGGTAAAATTATCCCGACGTTGGTATTGAATTACCTCAAGGACTAATCGCAATGGGTGGTAACCTCGAGGTGTTCGAAGAATTGTGACCGACCTTTGTACATAAGTTTATCCCGAGCTTTCACTTTGGAGCCTTGGACAAAAATCCAAGGATAGATGGTTGGGGATGTATGTCCTCGGGATTTTTACTTGTGCTGCACTATTTTGATGTGCTGATTATGAGCTCCAAGGTTTTGGTGCTTGCGTGAGGCAAGACTTTGGTGCTTGCTCGGGGCGAGGCTTACATGCTTGCTCGGAGCAAGGCTTTAGACAGCTTGCCCGAGGTCAAGGCTTAAATTAGCTTGTCGAGGACAAGGCTTAGGGCGGCTTGCTTGAGTACTAGGCTTAAATTGGCTTGTCGAGGACAAGGCTTAGGGCGACTTGCTTGAGTACTAGGCTTAAATTGGCTTGTCGAGGATAAGGCTTAGGGCGGCTTGCTCGAGGGCAAAGCTTACATTGCCTTGTCGAGGACAAGGCTTAGGTCGGCTTGCTCGAGGGCAAGGTTTACATTGGCTCGTCAAGGACAAGGTTTAGGTAATTTCTGGACGCAAAGCAAACTATCGGGCTATTATACCCGAGGTTTGGATTTATTAATTGATCGGATTGGACTCGAATTTATATTGTATCCAAGCTGCCTACGTACCCAAACAGGATCAAGCTGAACGTAATTCATTACAAAGAAAAACGAAAAACATGCATGGGCACGCAGGCCCGAAGAACCAAAAATAACATTCAGAAGAAAAAATGCAGGAAAAGAAAATCTCCTAAATGGCACCGGGAATGTTACTTGTAATATATTTTTAGATTATCGACATTCCAGGACCTTGGAAGAGGTCTACCCGAAGTGTCTCTTAGGCTGTATGCTCCTTTGCGAACCTGTCGTATGACCTCAAAGGGTCCTTCCCAGATGGGCTCGAGCTTCCCTGGGGGGTGACCTGCTGCTTCGGCCCTCCTCAAGACCAAATCGCCAGCTCTGAACCTCCGAGTCTTGACTTTGCTATTAAAATGTTTTGCTGTCTTAGTTTGGTAAGATGCCACCTTTATAGCGGCTTGCTCTCGTACTTCTTCCAAGAGATCAAGGTGTTTAGTTGTATGCTCCGAGGTTTCTGGCACGAGCCTCCTATGGCTTGGCAGTCTAATTTCCACTGGGACCATTGCTTCAATGCCATAGGCTAACATAAAAGGGGTTTCTCCTGTGATTGTCCTATGAGTTGTTCTATACGTTCATAGTATAGAAGGTAGCTCGTGGGACCAAGAATCCCTAGCATTGCTAATTCTTGTTCGGAGGTCTTGTAATATGATTCGATTTGTTACCTCGGCCAGACCATTGCTCTGAGGATGCGAAACTGATGTCAGACGGTGATTAATCCCAAAGTTTGAGCAAAAGTCCCTAAACTGTTGATTGTCAAATTGCCTGCCATTGTCGGTGATGAGGACCTTTGGTATCCCAAACCTGCAAATGATAGACCTCCAAGTGAAAGCACTTAGCTTGGGCTCCGATATTGTGGCAAGAGGTTCGGCCTCTGCCCATTTTGTGAAATACTCTATTGCTACAGCAACAAACTTTAATTGACCTCTTGCCACAGGAAAGGGGCCGAGGATGTCAACTCTCCATTGCTCAAACGGGGCCGAACAATTAATGTTGGTGAGGTCTTCGGCTGGTGAGTGGATAACATTACCAAACCTCTGGCACCTATCACATCTTTTAACATATTCTGAGGCGTCTTTCTTCATAGTTGGCCAATAGTATCCATATCATACGAGTTTAATGGCCAAGGCCTAGCTCCTTGATGATTCCCGCACACACTTTCATGAACTTCAGCAAGGGCCTGGGATGACTCTGATGGTCTAAGGCACCTTAGGTATGGAAGAGTAATACTTTTGCGAAAGAGGATACCGCTGATCATGCAGTACCCAGGAGCTCGAGCTCTGATGCTTCTAGCCAACCTGGCATCGCTTGGTAGATTTCCGCTTGTGATGAATTCTATGATTGGGTCCATCCAGGATGGTTCATTGTCAATGTCCATGATGTCGAGGATTTGATTGATGCTGGGTTCTGTGATGATTTTAATGTGAACTATTCTGTCAAGGCTGTCTACGCCCATGAACACAAGCCTGGATAATGCGTCGGCTTTTCCGTTGTCCTTTCGAGCAATTTTTGCAATTTCACAACTCTTGAATTTTCGTTGAAGATCTTGAACCTTCATGCAGTACAAATTCATTTTCTCGTCTTTCCTTTCAAATGATCCTTCAATCTGTCCGACCACCAGTTGTGAATCGCTGAATATCTTCACGAACTCGAGCTCAAGGCTAAGGGCTAGGTCCAGAGCAATAACGACGGCCTCATACTCGGCCTCGTTATTGGTTGCTTCAAACTCGAACCTAAGAGCGCATTGAATCTCCGTTTGTTTGTCAGGGCTGATGATGATGACCCCTGCACCCGAGCTCGAGGAGTTCAATGCTCCATCTACAAAAATTTGCCAAGTGTCCAAACTGGTGCTCATGCTCGAGCTTTCACCTGGCCCCCGAGGCCTAGGGGTTAGTTCTGCAATGAAGTCGGCTAGTGCTTGGGCTTTAATAGATGGGCATGGTTTGAATTCGATGTCAAATTCTCCAAGCTCGATCGCCCATTTCATCAGTCTTCCTGAGACGTCCGGCTTTTGAAGTATATGCCTAGGTGGTTGATTAGTGAGCACCACAATAGGGTGAGACTGAAAATACTGCCGGAGTTTTCGTGCTTCTATCACTAAGGCAAGGGCAAGTTGTTCCGTCAAAGTATACCTTATTTCCGCATCTAGTAGGGCCTTACTTACATAGTAGATAGGTTGTTGGACTCTGTTAACCTCTTTCACCAAGACCCCGCTGACCCGTTTTGAGATACAGCCAGGTACAAAAATAAGGTGTCACCAGGCTCAGGCCTAGTGAGAATAGGAAGAGATGCCAATGTTTGCTTGAGCTCCTAAAAAGCTTTTTCACAGTCTTCACTCCAATCAAAGCCTTGGTTTTCTCTGAGGACTTTGAAGAAGGGATAGCACCTGTCTGATGCTCGGGACATGAACCTGTTCAAGGCTGCTATCCTACTAGTCACCTCTGTAACTCTTTCTTGTTCCTTGGTGATTCCATAGATGCCAAGGTTTGTATTTTGTCAGGGTTAGCCTCTATCCCACGGTGAGTGATCATAAAGCCCAAGAGCTTGCCCGAGGCTACGCCGAATGCACATTTTGCGGGGTTCAACTTCATTCTGTCGACAAGATCTGAAATATGCTGGTCCACCTGTTTGCTCTTGACCACCATGTCATCAATATATGCATCTACATTCCTTCCAATCAAGTTAGCAAAGACTTTGTTGATGAGCCTTTGATATGTTGCCCCTGCATTCTTCAAACCGAAAGGCATGACCTTATAATAGTATATGGGGGAATCGACCATGAATGATGTCTTTTCTTGATCTTCCTCGGCCATGAGGATTTGATGATAACTAGAAAATGCATCCAAGAAGCTGTATAGCATATGTCCAGATGTGCTATCCACCAAGTTGTCAATCCGCGGTAGGGGATAACTATCCTTTGGACATGCTTTGTTAAGATCTGTGAAGTCAATGCAGACCCTCCACTTACCATTGGCCTTCTTCACTAAAACAACATTGGCAAGCCAATCGGGATATTGGACCTCTCGTATGAATTGAGCACTGACGAGTTTGTTAATTTCTTCGCGAGTGACCTCCCGACGTTCTGGGGACAAACTGTCTTTTCCTATGCTTTACTGGTCTGGCCCCTGGACTAATGTTAAGCCTGTGGACTGCAATTTTGGGGTCTATCCCTGGCATATCCTCAACCTTCCAGGCAAAAACGTCAATGTTGCGAGATAAGCAACCAATAAGTTCTGTCTTTAGGGTGACGTCAAGATCCCGACCAACCGTCACCTTCTTATCCTGCACGAGCTTGATTTCCATCAATTCTTTGACAGGAGCAAGTCTGACTTGTTGCCCGGCCTCGGGCTCAATCCTCGAGATTTGCATGACATCGTTATTTACTTCCCGAACGTTGGCAACATAGCATTGTCTGGCAGCTGTCTGGTCTCCACGTACGATCCCAACGCCATTACTTGTTGGAAACTTCATGGCTATGTGGAAGGTAGACACAATGGCTTTGATCTTGTTCAGGAGTGGTCTTCCCAGAATAGCGTTATAGGCTATTAAGACACGTACCACTTGAAAAGATGTCATCTCCGTAACCTATTTCTGGCCAGAACCCAAGTTAGAGGAAGCTCGACGACACCCTCTGGAGTGATAACTCCTCCCCCAAACCCTTGGAAAGGAGTTTTAACCGCTTTGAGCTGCTGAGATGAGATTTCCATTTTGGCAAAAGCTTCTTGTAAAAGTATATTGGCCGCACTCCCGTTGTCAACCAAGATTCTCTTTACTTCAAAATTGGCCACAATCGCTGAGATGACCAAGGCATCATCATGTGGAAGTGATACACCTTCCAAGTCCCCGGTTCCAAAAGTAATATCCTCCAGCTTACCATGAGGTATTCCAGAGGCCAAGGCATATTGTCGGGCATATTGTTTTCTTCCACTGTTGGAGTCTCCTCCCAAGGCAATACCCCCAATGATGATATTGACGGTTCCAGCAATGGGTTGACCATCCCTTTTTGCTTCAGGGGCTTTTTCCCTACCACGATCATTCCTCGGGCGTTTATCGTTGCCGACGTAGGAACTCAGGAGTCCTCTTTTAATAAGGGCTTCAATCTCCCGTTGCAGGGCCTTACAGTTCTCCATGATATGCCCATGATCCCAATGGAAATCACAGTACTTGTTCATGTCCCTGGATTCAGGTGGTGACCTCATCCTGACAGGCCATTTGAGTTCCATCATATCCTTGATCTCCATCAATATATTTGTCTTTGACATATTTAAACGCGTGAATGACATCGGGAGAACCTCCTGTCTCTGTTTTCTCCGAGGTTGTTCGTCATGGGGGTTCGGGTCGTGCTGTCGTTTATGCTCGACCCTGTCATGGGGTGGTCCAACCTTTCTCGGGTTCAGTGTTTCCTCCATATTTATGTACTTCTCAGCTTAGGTAAGAAGCTCAGTCACTGTCTTTGGCGGAGTTTTGGATAAAGACATCTTGAAAGCCTCACACTTTATGGCGTATATGAGGGTAGAAACTGCTGCAGTTATATGTAGGTCGGGAATCTGAAGTCTTTCCTTATTGAACCTGGTCATGAAGTCACGTAGGGTCTCATTTTACCCTTGTCTAAGTTGCATGAGGGAAGCCGCTGTCTTCCTGATGCGTTTACTGCTTGCGAAGAAAGCAGAGAACTTGTCTGCCAAATCCGAGAATGAGGCTATGGAGTTGGGCTCTAAGGTTGAGAATCAATCCCTAGCATCATTCGTCAAAGTTTGCGGGAAGGCCTTACACATCACCTGATCTGGTGCGACCTGTAGATTCATGACATCCGTGTACACGTTAAGATGATTGATTGGATCGGTGTCCCATCATATTCTTTGATCCTAGGATACTTAAATTTGTCTGGTAAGGGGAATGTCAATATCTCGGGAGTAAAGGAAGTGTTGGGACTGAATCTTGTCGTCCCTTTGTTGCCCTGAAGTAGGCCTGTCGTAATTCCTTCTTGAATAATCCTAGCGAGGTCACCGGACTCCATGGTCACTGATCTTGAGGTCGAGGTCACATGTGGTATACCCGAGGCCCCTCCTCCGCCATTGTCAGGGACATGTCTTTGAGCTCGAGCTCGAGCATCAGCCATAAAACCCCCCTAGGGTGCTGGTGTAGGTGACGAATGCGAATTTCTTTGACTTAGCAGCTGAGTCATTGTGGCGACCTGTTGTCTGAGCTCTTCAAAGGCTCCAGCAATGACGACTGTCGGCTAGGGCTCTGGCACTTCTGATGATTCCTCTTGAGGAACAGGGATATCCTCAGGAGGGGGTTGGTTTGGAGCGGATGAGCTTGCTGGTGGAAGACCTGTACGTGTGTTTACCATGGCTTTTGGTAGCGTTTCCCACAGACGGCGCCAATGATGCTACCAAAAATCATACCTGCAGATTTCCCGAGCTTGATGATTCGGGTTGATCATGATCGTAGTCTTCCGGTACCTGAAACAAAGGCAACGAGGTGTGTTATCGTCGCCACTCCGATGCTTAAGTCAGAAAGGGAATTATATGCGTGAGGCTATATGCTGGAGAACAATGAAAAACGTATCTGAATAATGATTAAGGGCCTCGTATTTATAGAGGTAGGTGGTGTGTTCATACTAGGATTCCGTAGTGCACTTGTAATAAGACAGCTTGATTTTGCAATCTTATATCAATGAGTCCTACGCGAGATACGAATTTGAACTGCGGTATAACTGCGATACCAATTATTTAATAGAGTTCTTCGGGGCATAGGTTGAGGATTTTTAGTTAGAATAAATTTCTCATTGGATAAGGCATTGACGTCGGGGGTAACCCGAGGTCATAATCCTGAGGATATGTCGAATGATTTTCAAATAACTCTTGGGGCTAATAGCTTGGGCATGTGGAAGATACCCGAGCACATATATCCCGAGCATATTGGTAAGCATATCGACGAAATAAAGTCCTCGGGTTTATATACGTCGAGAACATGTATTTGGTTATATCAAGAGCTATTGAGTCGTGTCGAACAAGAGAAATATCCGACTTGCAATCTAAAAAATCGCACGGTTGGACAAGTGACTAGAAATCTCCAAGATATTTTTAAACGACTGGACGATTCTCACACATCACCATGTAATCGAATGATCCGCCCTACGATCTGAATTCACTCTCAACCAAGGATCTGATCATCTCTGAACCCGAATTACTCTTCTATTCGAGCAGAACTCGTATAAAAGAGTGGGGGACAAATTGTATTGGTAAAAATTAATTTACTAGTCCAAGTGGCCCAAACATAGAACAGGGTCCACATACGATTCAACCGCGCCATCATCAGCCCAACTCATTATAACAATCGACCTGAATACACAATCCATGACCTATACGTCAATTCGAAATCTCCGATAATCTAGCTTCCAGATAGATCATGTTACGATCTATCCAGATCTGGTGAGAGTTATCTATAAACGGATCTGATATCTCAACTGAACAAATTGGATTAGATTTGGCTCCAACCAACCACAAAATCTCGAAGGATCCTTGCCAATCCCTCCTAGACGGTTATCCAACTCCTATAAATTCAGTAGTTGGTCAAGCATTCAGGTATCAGAATCCACTAGACTCTAATTCATTTCTTCTTTCTTCCATCTGGCATTTATCAAACTTTCAACAAGGTTTACTGACTTGACCGTCAGAGGGTCTTCAGCCGACACCACACCGGTGTCTTTTTGAGATCTTTTTACGGTCATTTTCCTTTGTTCTATTTTTCTTGAGTACAGGATTGCTGGTGGCCCACCTGATCTGATTTCTTGGCTGCAAAACTTACCGTCTATAGTTAGTAATGCCATTTGGATTAAAAAATGCACCACAAATATATCAAAGAAAAATTGATAATATATTTAAAAATTTTAATGAATTTCTAATTGTTTATATAGATGACATATTGATATGTTCTAATAGTAAAGAAGAACATAGGAATCATTTAATCTAATTGATAAATGAATGTAAAAAAGAATGAATTGTACTTTCTATAAAGAAATCTTGGATTATTAATAGATAAAAGAGGAATAGAATTGCAGACTCAAATATCTAAAACGATAGAAAGTTTTCCAAATAAATTAGAATATAAAGAACAAATACAAAAAAATTTAGGATGTTTAAATTATGCAGAAGGATTTATTGAAAATCTTTCCAGAAAAATGCATAAAATACCAATTTTGTTAAGAAAAACAAATATTAAATGATGGAATGAAAAACATACAAAAATAGTTAAATCATTAAAAGAAGAATGTAAAAATTTACCAAAATTAAGATTATCAGATAAAAAGATAATTTAATTGTGAATACAGATACCTCAGATAAATATTGGGCAGCAATATTAAAAACAGATTTAAATGAAATTTGTAGATATTCAAGTGGAACATTTAATCAAGTAGAAATAAATTATACCACTCATGAAAAAGAATTACTTGCAATTATTAGAGGGATAAAAAAGTTCTCATTATTTTTATTATCCAATAAATTTATTGTTGAAATTGATAATTCTCAAGTTGTAGGATTAGTCAGGAATAAACTTCTATCAGAACCTCAATACAGAAAGCTCCATAGATGGCAAGCTAATTTAGCATTTTATAATTTTGATATAATTCATATTAAAGGAGTTAATAATCTTCTTATAGATTTTCTCAGCAGAAATATAGAATTTTCTTATGGATAAAGTCAGGGTCATGGAGTTATACCAATCTATCATACATATACAAAAAGGACAGATTTTCTTAAAGAAGAATCTGAAGACATAAATACTGGAGTAATATAGATCTCAAAAATGTTCAACTCAAATATAAAAATATTGTTGAATATCACTACTAAGCATCATAAAGAAGCCATAGAACTCAAAAATCAAGTTGATATTATTGCAATACAACTAAAAGATATACTGTCTGAGACAGATATACAAAAGAGCTCAGAAATGAGTTTTCCAAATCAATACCAAATAGGAACAGCTGGAAGCAGCAGTGGACCCAGATGTGACTCTATACCAATTGATAAAAAAAGAGATTCAACACCAACCAAAAAAGTAGTGATAAATGGAGATAAAAATGATTCCAAAACTATCAGCATCATAGATCAGGATGATACAATCCCTTTACATCCAAAAGAAGAATAATATGCTAAAATAGTCAGAATTGCTTATGAAATAAAAATAAGTGATTGATATTTCATCTCTCCGAAAAATAATGTCTATCTCAGAATAACAGTCATGAAATGATGAGATCCTTCATTTATAAAGATTATGGCAGATTACGGATTTATGGATTTGATATATCCAAGAAAAGATTTGATTGAAATTTCAAAATTTGATGATATATTCATAAAAGAAGTATCCAGATTTGTCCTTGAATATATTTGAAATTTTATTCAATAAGTCCTGAATACGATAGAGTTGTTTATTATCCAGTTGAACATATAATATCAATTGGATATGTAGCAGCCAACTTCCAAATAGATGTGGTGGAAAATGATAGAAAAGTTTCAACAGTGATAAAGTCATGGATGAGACATAGAAGAGCACTTAGAATTAAAGCCATATACAATATTGCTAAAAAAAATTTTGATAAAAAAATTTCATACTTGTATTAATATAAAAATTGGGTGTTGGTATCAAATGTAGGATATAGAAAAGCAGAAATCTAGAAAGACTACATTACAAGATTCCAAATACATCAATTTTCAGAATATTCTACCACTATAAGAGAATCCTACCAGTTAAGGGAGTGCCCCAACTGCATGTGAAAATGTAGGACAATAATAGAAAAAATCAGATGCTGCATGTGAAAATGTAGGTCCAAGGAGGACAATAATAGAAATGCAAGTGTGTCTTTGCTGATGTACTAAATAATGTAATAGATCAATAATAGGCCTCATATATTTGTATAAATAGAGGCATTGTAATAGAAAAAAATCATCTTGAAATCAAAGTATCTTCTCTCAAATTGTAAGCTCGATTTGTAGTGGAGAATCAACATTTCCAAACCCAATTTTTTTGGAAATCCCTTTGTACCAAATAAAAGTCTTGTATAAATTCTGATAGAAATAAAATTTCAATATTTTGATATCAATATGAGTTTTTAAATCTTTATTCCAATAGATTCTTGAAAGATCTAATAGAAAGTTTCCTTTTTATTTTAGCAGAAAGAAAGTTTTTTATTTAACAGAAATTTATAATTTTATTCTTTAGAGTTGATACATTGAGAACAAGAAACTGAAATAGTAAAGATTTCGTGAAGGCAGGAGGCCGTTGAAGGAAGCAGTTTACATATTCAGAGCTCAGGAGTCACTCGGTTCTAAAAATAAAGATTTAAATCAAACCTAAGGTAAAACTATTGAATTTTTGCTAAAATTAGAATGAATCTTTTTAGATCTTAGATAATCAAAGGGATTAATTGCATGATTTGATGATTATTTGTATGACTAAATGTCAAGATTGTAAAGGATTAGATAATTTATTAGAAAGAATGTTAGAAGAAATAAAAAATATTTATTTCCAATTAGAAAATATGGATGCATCTTCCGAAGAATATAATATATTAAATAATAAATGTGAGCAATATGTTGCAGATTATTTCAATTTATTAGATCATAGAATGAAATTATATTCAAAAATTCAAAATAGAATATAGTTTAAAAAGATTGGGATATATGTTGCAATATAGAAAGAATCATTCATTAAGGGCAATATAAACTTTTTCATGAAAAGGAATAGTAATAGGCCAAATAGAAAAATCCTTCTAAGATCGGGCAATTAACCCAGGAAGCAAAAACCAAAAAGAAGTTAGACAAAGTCTCGACAACATGATAGGTCGTCAAGGGCACAAACTACGCAATAGAAATGGAGTAACAGAAAATGTTGAACTCTAACCTTGAGGGCCTCCACCGCCCCGCCCCTGGAGTATTGTGAGGAAAGTAAATCGCGAGATGTGTCCCAACAGGCTAGAGAACAAGAGTTTGCATGTACACTGGTGCCCATCAGGAATCGAACCCTCACATTATGACTGTCAGCAAGGCTGAGACATAGAAATGGAGTACCAGAGTAAGGATGGTGGATGGTATTAAGTAGGGATGCATTTATTATCCTCTCTTTACTTATTGGACTGAGAAAATTGGACTGAGAAAATAATTTGGGTAAATAGTATTAAAGGTCTCATTTTTTGACAAGTGTTGAACTTTTATCGTCATTCTTTAAAAAGTAGCTCTTAGGTCCTCAACATTTCATTTTGGTAAAACTAAGGTCCCCAATGGACAATTTTACTCATCCTTAAAATATCTAGCTAAATTTCATTTCAAAAGGACGGTTTTACACTTATATTTAATAAAAAAAAAGTAAATAAAAGCAAGATTGAAAATTCATATTCTCTCTTTATCCACGCATTGCATGTCCAAACACTTCCACCTGATCCCTTCCAACTCCATCTCTAGCACTACCGAGTTTTTGTTGCATCATCATAATTTCTACCTTCATAAGATCTAATTTTAGGAGTGTCTAGACTGTAGCAGAATAGCGAAATTCGAAACCTCGGCCTGCATTACACCGCCCCAAATGATAAACGTTGAGATGGGGAATATGGGCTAGTTTCAAATTCTCTTAACCTACGATGAATGTTTTTAGAATTTTGTTATTTGTACACCGGCGTTGACCCCTCACATGAGGGAGGGGTAGAGGTGGGCGTGGGTCGGTTCGGTTTGGTTCTAAAGAGAACCGAATCGAACCAAAATTTTCGAGTATCTAGTAAATGGAACCTTCGAGTCCAAATATAATTATGGAACTATTCGGGTTCGGTTTCATTCGGTTCAGTTCGGTTCGGTTCCGTACTATAATTAAATTTTTTAACATTGATAACAACATTATATAAAAATAACTAATGACACATTCAGTAGTTTTGGAATGTCAGAGATTAGTATATTAATTTACTCAAATGATCACTACGGTCAAAGTTTCGGTCGGTGGAGGTCACAGCTTCGATCGGAGGTCACAGCGTCGACCGGCGATTGTATAGGTTTTGGAATATCAAGGAGGCTGCGAGAATGAGTACGAGAGTCGAGACAACATTATGCACTTTAGTGTAGGTGTTTAGGGTTATTTAGTGGGTTGAATCTTATTGGGCTAAGTAATGAAACAATAAAATGGGTAATTTGGCAAAAAATTAAAAAATTAGAAATGAAACAAATTATTGGGCCAAAAATTTGGATTTAGAAATTGTTAATTTGTTTAGAAAAAATTAAAATTAAAATAATTTGATTTACTCAATATAAAAAAAATTAGAAAGATTCGATTCTTATTCGTTTTTTCGGTTCTTGGTCTAAAACCGAACCGTACCCGTCAGTTCTCAATTCAGATACCCGTTCGGGTATTTAATTTGACAATAACCGTCGGGTTCGAGTTCAAGTTCGGGTTCGGGTTCGGGTTCGGGTTCGGTTTCGATTCGGGAGATTTGCCCAGCCCTAGGGAGGGGCCTACGCCCAATAAAAAAAATAAACGAGTGGCCCCCTCTTGTGTGATGGGCGTGTACTTACATGTAGCACAATTGATGTTTTTATTTTATATTTAGGGTGTGTTTGCTAGCACACCCTTTTCCATGAAAAATGGAAAATCAATACCATTTTTCAACTTTTGTAGTATTTGATAGGTGAAATTTTTCATGGAAAATGAATTTCACCTTTCTTAGCCACATCGACATTTTTCATGAAAACCTTGAATTCCAATTCTCACCAAAATGGTGAGAATTGGAATTCTCAGTTACTGTAGCAATTTTTTAATTTTTAATTTTTTGGCAATGGAAATAAATTTTAAGAATTATTGTAAAAAAATATTTCCTTTTAACTGACAATTTTCATGTAAAATAAAGCCAAACAAATACTAAAAGATAGATGATTTTCTTATTTTTTTTTTTTTTTTGGCAATGGAAAAAAATTTCATACCCAAAATCAGTAAATTTTATCCCTTTAATTGACAATTTTCATGTAAAACAAAGTCAAACGAACATCAAAAAATACTTTTATTTCAACATTTTTTACGTAGAAAATTATACCAATCAAACACAATAATTTACAATTTCTAGAAAAATAATTTCTAGGTAATTCAATTCCCTGAAATTCATTTTCAATTCAATTCAATTCCATTTTTGCAATCAAACGGACCCTACTTTTGCTTTAAATCGTATTAAAAAAATAAATAATTGATTAAACGTGGGAAGTAAAGATTTTCCAATCCCTGTTTCACCTCCTAAAAGTCCCCAACAAGGAGGAATGGTAATGGCCACCTATGTCCACTCGCATTCTTGACATCCATAGACAATGTATTTAATTTAAATATTAATACTTGATTAATCTTGACGTCATTACTTTAGAAAAAGTCTTGATCGATCCTTATTTTTCATTTTTTAATCTTTATTTTTGTTTATTTAATTTCACTATGTAAGGGCAAAATTGCCTTGTTAAACGAACTTTTAACTAATTTATTATAAAAATAAGGGAAAATTGTTCATGGAGAATCAAAGTGCTACCAAAACAAAAGGTTGAGTTGTAAATGCTACCTTGTAAGTTGGGGATAGAAGTGCAACAAATGTCAAAGGTTGGGACCTTTGCTGCTATTTACCAAATAATTTTGACTTCTTCTACATGGCCACATCACTACAATCAATTTGTTGAGGAAAATTCAAAGAGAAATTACTTTCATCTAATCCTTTGTTTGTCTGGGGAGATGGAGGTTGAGAAAGAGACAATAAAATTTACTTTTCTTTACATCACATAATAGAAAAATAACACCATATATTAATTGACTTCTCTCTAAAGTCAATTCACAATGAATTTTTCAACTAATCACTCATAAATTGATCATCATCCCAATCTTATTAACTAGTCTTGGATTTTTCCTATATTTCCAGCTGGTCTTCCCTGTTAGTTTGAATACATAGGCTTCGTTTTGTCAAACTAACTTGTCTATTATACTGTTTAATCTGGTCTCGATTACCATAACATACTTAACATATTTCAAATTTTTGAATTAACATCTGATAAGATGAACTTTATGACGTGATTTGGAATCGTGTCGTGTCAGGCATGCATCTCTCTCTCTATATATACGTGTAGAGGACTAATGTAGAAGCAAAAAAGGCCTATTTCATCTCTCTCCCTCTTAACATATTCATCGTTATAGACATGGATTTTGATAAGGCAGCAACTTTTTTCCCATTTGTTATATATCTTATATTCCTCTTGTACAAGATTGTGGATAAAAGAAGGAATCAATGCTGTTACCTTATTCATTATGAGTGCCACAAGCCATCTGATGATAGGAAACTCGGCATAAAATTCAGTGGAGACATGATTGCAAGAAACAGAAATCTTGGCATTGCAGAGCATAAGTTTCTTTTGCGAGCCATTATTAATTCTGGAATTGGCGAAGAAACTTACGTGCCGAGAAACATTATTGAATGCCGTGAAGATTCTTCCACTCTTGAAGATGCAATTGCAGAAATGGACGAATTCTTCATTGACACATTAGATAAACTCTTCGAGAAAAACGCAGTTTCACCTCAAGAAATTGATGTTCTTGTGGTGAATGTGGCGTTGCTTGCAGCAGTTCCTTCGCTTTCGGCCCGAATAGTCAGCCATTACAAAATGAGAGATGATATAAAAACCTTTAATCTCTCTGGGATGGGATGCAGTGCTAGCCTGATTTCAATCAATCTGGTTGAAAACATTTTTAAATCCCGCAAAAATGTTTTCGCTGTGGTTATTACGTCTGAATCCATAGCTCCAAACTGGTATACAGGCAATGACAAGTCTATGATTCTTACAAATTGCCTGTTTCGTTCAGGAGGGTGTTCTATGCTATTGACAAACAATCGGGCCCTGAGATCCAGAGCCAAATTAAGATTAAAATGTCTGGTTCGAACCCATCTGGGATCAATCGATGAGTCGCACACTTGCTGCTTGCAAAAAGAGGATGACCAAGGTCGTTTAGGGTTTTTTCTTAGCAAGAATCTTCCAAAAACAGCCACTCGTGCATTCACCAAGAACATAATCTATTTAGCACCAAAAGTAGTGCCCTTAAAAGAGCTGATTCGATACGTCGTCTCGAAGATTTTTACGAAAAGAACTCTTAATCTTAAGTCTGGGATTGATCACTTCTGTTTGCACCCTGGAGGGACTGCTGTAATACAAGAAGTCAGGGTGAAATTGGGGTTAAGTGACAAGGATGTGGAGCCATCAAAAATGACACTTCATCGGTTCGGAAACACGTCAGCGAGTAGCCTGTGGTATGTTTTGGGTTACATGGAGGCAAAGAAAAGACTGAAAAAAGGTAACAAAGTTTGGATGGTAAGTTTTGGTTCTGGTTTTAAGTGTAATAGTTGTGTGTGGGAAGTGGCTCGGGATTTGGAAGATGGTAATGTTTGGGGGGATAAGATTGATAATTACCCTCCAGAAAACATGGCAAATCCTTATATGGAACAGTATGGATGGGTTTATGAAGCAAATTTGAAACCATTAGTTGCTCAATATGGGAAGAATAAGAATATATGACCAGAAGAATATCTTCCCTTTATGGTGCTGTTGCATCATCCACTGATAAGTATGCATGTCAAGATTATTGGCTAAATAAGTGATGAGAGTAAGCATATTTTGTATTTAAGGTTGTCAATTTCTATATTTTACGTATGTGGAACAATAATTTTGCGAAAAATCCTATGTACACTCTCTTATCACTATTATATAAAAAGGACAATATTTCACTACTGTAAAAAGAACAGTAGATTCTTCCATTTTGTCTCACTGTAGCTTTTTTTTTTTAATTGAGAGAAAGCAAGGACGTCGTTTATCTTACGTGTTTGATACAGTAACTTTGTTGCTTTTCCTCAATTTACACGTCATGGAGGATTATGTTATAGAGCCCTATTTACTCTTTCTCCATTTTTATACACTACAGTCATGCCTCTCTATTTCTCCACACTAATTCAAGAATAAAAGTGTGAATTCCACAAATATATGATTGAAAATATGTTTAAAGAAAAATAAATTTTAAAAAATGAAGACCAAACATGTTAACAAATGAATATATTTATTTTTCGAAAAATAAGTTTTTATTACCATTTCATTTTTATCGTGAAATGATTCTAATTTTAATATGTTAGATTGTGCGTCAAAATTACATAATCTATCAAATGTAATTTTTATAAAGTAATATATTTTTATGAATTTTTTTTTAGTAAAGTAAACGGAGGCTCGTGTTGAGACTTCCAAAATTACGGAGGCTCAAGCATGGGCCTCCGTAATTCTAGAGGCCTCATGTAACGGAGGCTCAATAACATTTTACTTTTTAAAATTAATAAAAATTAATTATTTTATATTTTGTAGTACTATTATATTTCACCTTCAAAAAAAAATTATAAAAATATATTACTTTATAAAAATTATATTTGATAGATTATATAATTTTGAAGCACAATCTAACATATTAATATTAGAATCATTTCATGATAAAAATGAAATGATAATAAAAACTCATTTCTCGAAAAATAAATATATTTATTTGTTAACATGTTTGGTTTTCATTTTTTAAAATTTATTTTTCTTCAAACAGATTTTCAATCATATATTTATGGAATTTACATTTTTACTCTTGAATTAACCCCCTCAATAAATTATCATTTAAACGGTTCGTAAAAATTTTGATTGATATTATTTTTAGATCATCCAAATAATTATTATATACCTTTTACGTACATATATAAAAATAATATTTTTATTTAAACTTACTTATGTGTTCAAAAATAAACTTTCTAAAGATATATGGTTGATAACGTGAGAAAATGGTGAAAGAGATAGTGTGGAGAAATAGAGAAGTATGATTGTAGCGTGTAAAAATGAAGAAAGAGTAAGCTTCCATTATTTTATGTTTTTTTATTTTAAGAATATTAAAAAATTAAGTTGATTAAATGAGATTAAATTATTGTACTGAGAGTCAATGAAGAAAATAGAAAGTAAAAAAAATGCACGTTGAGACCTCCGTAATTACGAAGGCTCATGCTTGAGCCTCCATATTATGGAGCTTTATCTCCATGAAGCCTCCATAATACGGAGGTTATGAAGGCCTCCACAAAGCCTCCGTATTATGGAGGCTTTGTTCCATAATATGAAGGCCTTGCCTTCGTAATATTTTTTTTAATTTTTTTAATATATATAAAAATTATTATTTTTAAATGTTTTTGGCATGATGTGTGTATGAAAGAATATTTGTCAATCACTATAAATAAAATTTTTTACAAAATGTAAAAAATAAATATGTATAATAAATCTTCTTATTATGTTAATAAAATTACAATAATTTTTTTTTTTTACAAATAACATAAAAATTATTTTTATTTTCAACAAAAAAATACATTTAAAAATTAGCAATTTCATAATCACCTTTTTTTTAATTTTTGAAAATAAAATTATAAAATAAAAAATAATTAAATTTTTATTAATTTTATAATATAATATTTTATGGAGGCTGATGCCTCCATTTTGGATGCTCAAGACATGAGCCTCCATTATGGAGCCTCCGTGTATGTTTGATAGATAAAAATTAATAAAAATTCATAAAAATATATTACTTTATAAAAATTATATTTGATAGATTATATAATTTTAAAGCACAATCTAACATATTAAAATTAAAATCATTTCATGATAAAAATGAAATGGTAATAAAAACCCATTTCTCGAAAAATAAATATATTCATTTGTTAATATGTTTGGTCTTCATTTTTTA